TATGACAAATTGCACTGTTATAAACATGGGTGCACATATATCACTGTGATATGACGTTTTCAGTTCTTCTGGAAAAAATACCCAGGAGGGGAATAACTGGGTTAAGTAGGACCTCTAATCCTAATTACTGAGAAATCTCCAGACTGATTTCCACAGTGGATGCACCAGTCTACACTCCCACCAACAGTGGAGAAGGGCTCCTTTTTCCCCACAGCCCTCCAGCATTTGTTATTCGTTGATTTCTTGATGATAAGCGTTCTTTCTGGGGTGAGATGGAATCTCAGTGTTGTTTTAATCTGCATTTCTCAAATAACTAATAATATTAAACACTTTTTCATGTATTTATTCACCACTTGTATTTCTTTATCTGAGAAGTGTATATTCATCTCAGATGCCCATTTATGTATTGGGTCTTTGACTTTTGGGAACCTGATTTCTTTTAATTTTTTATATGTTCTAGATAGAAGTCCTTTGTCTGAGGGGCAGTTGGCTAAAAATTTTCCCAATTCATGGGCTTCTTTTTTACTCTGTTGGCGATTTCTTTGGATGTGCAAAAACTTTTCAGTAAGATGAGATCCCAGTTGTTGATTCTTCGCAGTATTTCCTGTGCAGTTTATTTTCTGTCCATGAACTCTCTGCCTACCCCTATGTCTTCAAGGTTTCTGCCTACTTTCTCTTCCAGTAGATTTAGTGTTTCTGCTTTAATATTTACATCTTAATCCGTTTTGACTTTAGTCTGGTGCACGGCAATAGACCTGGGTCTTGTTTTAGTCTTTGGCAGGGTTCTCCTTTTCATAGGTTCCATCAGTGATGGCATCAAATAAACGCCCGCAGATGATGGCTGGTGAGGTTTTGCCTCTCTGTTGTGACCCTGTCCCCGTGATGTAAGAGTTGGTATCTCTTCACTACGTCAGTCATTACCATTCTACAGTATGGCATGCAGGGAATAGTTTTAAAGAGTTAGGCACACCTGTATGTTCTCAAATGGAAGTGCTCTCCACTTTATATCTATCACCAAACACAGTCCTGCTTCCTGCTTGTGACATCATCTTCACATTTTCCTTGGTACAGTCACGAAATGCAAGTAGTCCAGCCCTTTCCTTCACAGATCTTCCTTAGTCTGTCACCGCCTGTCCCCTGGAAGTCAGAGTGTTTCCCCTCGTACCTTCTGGGTTGCAGACTTTGACACTCCCCACCTCCTCCTGTGATCTGTCTGGATCTGCACGGTTCTCTTCAGAAAGCTGTTGCCCACTCCCAGGAAGCAAGGGATGATCCCCGGCCCCGATCCTGCTGGGACTTAACTCTGCCACTTCACACCTGCTCCTCAGGTTGCTTTCTACCCCCGCATCTTCAGCACCAAGCTGACATCCCCAGCCACCCGTCACAGGAGAAATCGTGCTGTGCAGAGGGTAGGAATGGGGGCTGCAGGCACAGGAGAACTCTCTGAAGGAGATGTGTGGTGGCGGAGCACACAGCGCTGCTGCTCCATCTCTTATCCATTCCTCACTTGGAGTCTGGGTGAATAGGATGCCAGGTTAAGCAGTGTCACACAAATGGCTCCTCCAGGTGTGAAGCCTTTGTGGTCTTCCTTTCTAACACCCGTGGGAGTCACAGTGACTGCAGAAGGGGGAAGGGAAGATGCTGCCTCCACATTTAAATCCCAGGCTCCATCCACTCCAGCTCCTTCCAGAGTCACTGTGTTACACAAGGATTAAAATGATTTTTAAAATTTTTATTCCAACAATATAATTCCTGTGGATATAGACATGAATGCAATGATTTTTTAAACTATGAACTGGATTTAAACACGTAATTAAAAAAAGGAGAAAATGAAACTAAGTCAGTATATAATATTGCATATAAATCAACATGTAAAAAGATGTATAGTAAATAAATAAAAACACGTTGCATCTTAAGTATAAAAGGAAAGAATTTAGGAGCTGGGATTTAATGATGAATTATTTGTCTTTTTTAACATTTCAAAATGTTTCCCTTTTTTCTTTGAACATTTTGCGATTATTTTCTTTGATCTCTTCCCTACCTGGTGTGTGCTTGAAGTATCCCAAAATTATGATGGTGTAATGTCCTTACGAGTTAGACTGTGGAATTTCCAATTGTATTTAAAAATTTTGAATCCAGAATATTTAAGTACATTTTTTAGAGTGAAATAAAAAAGCTAAGTAATATACACTAGACAATCTTGCTGATCTATAGCAGAAAAAAGTATGGAATTCAAATGTAGTTGTAATATATATCCTGAAGTCAAAATAGAGATTTTAGGTTTATATTAACAGGACAAGTTAAAGGCCTGTATGATTGTACTTTTTTATATTTAGCCATTATGTCTTCCATGAAAAGCCCCCAAATGGTTTGAAAATCTGTGCTAGGAATAAAACATATTGCTGCTTAATGCTAATGGTGTTTTATTCTTCAGAAAATATGTCCATTTAGGGAGAAATCTATTTCAATTTAGAACATCTTTAAGACACAATTCACACTACTCACCCAAACAGAATCACCACATCCTGTGTCTTGCAGTCGTCCAGCCATGCCGCATGGTGGCTGGGGTCAGAAGCATAGTGCTGTCCAGGGCACAGCCCCACTGGTGTGAACGGAGACTCTTCTGGCTCTGTGCCTCCTCTGGGCCGGGGCAGAGCCAGCCCCTCAGTGAACACTGGGAAGGGACTGATGTTCAGGTTGTGACCTTGCAAGGAGGGAGCTGACCACCTTCTGCTGGCAGCCCTGGCTTCTCTCGGTTGTCTTCGTTACTTTTCTCTCACTGCGGAGACAAAATACCAGATGTTCAAAATTAAGGAAAGAAAGGTTTATTCACCTCACAATTTGTGGAGGTTTCAGTCCATATTTAACTGGCTCCAAGACAGGGTGGCACGTGACAGACAGGCAACAGCTAAAGGCCTCAGAAGACAGCAAAAGCGACAAGAGTAAAGAGGGAGTAAAGCAAGCCTCTTTTCCTTCCTTATCTTGTAAGTAGGCCACCTGCCCTAGGGCAGGTGCAGCACTCACACCTTCTCTGTGGCCTCCTCTTACACAGGCTCCGAATATTTACAAAGAGAGGATCCTGGCCTCCTGTTGAGTCGCTTAGTTAAACTTTTAGACTTCTCAAATTAACATAATGGTTCCACCATTACAACATCCTGAGTATCACCAGCCGTCCTAGGGCATGTCCTGTACATCCTAGGATATATTTCTCAAATTGACACAACGTATCAACCATTATCACGTTGGCCTTCCCTGACAGTCATGTGCAGGGCGCCAGGGTGTGAGTTCCAGGCGGGACAGAGCCACATCAAGAGGCAGGACAGCATGTCCCTGTCCCTCGTCCCATCTCTACAAAAGCTTCGTGCCTGGACTCGGGGGCACAGGTGGCAGTGTGTGGAGACACTCGAGGCCTGGGCCTGTTGTTGCTCTTTTGAAGCTCAACTGTGAATCTGTGTAGTTCTGTGGTCAAGTGTTAGGGGATGATGTATGTGTCAGCACCGCACGGACCACTCAGCAGGAGACAGGCTGCATGTGCACTCGGTGCCTAACGGCCGCGGGCAGCACTGCCCCTCCACATCTGTCCCTCATATCTGAACAACACTGGGCTCTGAACTGCCTAAGGCCGTCGCTCCCCACCTCACCCCGCCAGCTGCCTCCCAGCCCCAGGCCAGCGGTGGATTCCACCGATCTGGTTAAGCACAGGAACCAAAGCCCACATCCAAGGCCATGTCCCCAGGGTAACACCTCAGGAAAAGCCCTTCCCCTGATCCTTGGAGCCTCACTAGAAGAGTGACAGACCTTATTGCTATCAGCAGTTCTCTGGCACCATACATACTTATTTTCATTAAATTCACAAATCCTTCATTCTCAGAATCGCTCATTTTGTGACTGAAAGTTCGTCTGGTCTGACCAGCTAAATACTATTTACCTCTAAACTGCCCTAACTGCTCATTTTTTATTCTCATGGAGAGATTATACAGAAATCAGTGTTCAATCATGCTTAATGTATTTGCAAATTTAGGCTGAATCCCATATTACATGGTGCATTTCTTTTTTAATCTTTAAATTCCTTACATGCAAGAAATTCCTGTCTAAGAAAGTGCTGGATAACAGCCTTGAGGTCATAAATATCAGTCCTGTTTACCTAAGAACAGACGTTCACGGGAATTTTTTATTGTCTTGAAGAGCCACAGAGAGAGAAAAGGAGAAGCCGGGAAAGAGATGAATTTGAAATATTTGCTCTCCTGTTGTCTCTTCTGGAGGGCCAGAACCTGGGATTTGCACTTAAGTTTCCTCCTAATGAGAAACAGAAGGGAGGACAGCACCCCCATCAGGCTCCACGTGGAATAGGGAGCAGTTTCTCTAGGACACGAGTTTTGAGTTTTGTATTATGAGAATCTGTGTGTTTCATACCACACAAGGAAGTGACAAATGTTACTAATTAAAGAAAAACGTGGACTAACTACAGGGTGGACATGGAGTCATGGTTAAGAATTAGCTGAGAAGTCTGACTTTAAGTTATGTAAACTCCTTCTGGTTGTAAAAGAAGACAGCATTAAAACCTCTGTTTCTACAGGAGGAGAACAATAGAAAAACACTTCTATTGCTGGGAGAATAGGAATGTTGTGGACGCTGTCTCACCTCCAGCATTTGTCTCTGCCTTTTTCTAGCGGTGGGTCTTGCTGCGTGTCAAGAACCAGCCCTGCCCAGCAACGGCATTAAGCTGGGGGACCGCTACATGGTGAACGACGTGCTCTCTTTCCAGTGTGAGCCGGGGTACACCTTGCAGGTAGCTCTCTTTGCAGCATTTGGTGGAGGGGAGGGTCGCCGTGGTCACCTTGGAGAGCTCACGTGGGGTCACCTCCTTAGGTTTGCACCCAAGGAGCTCATGTGGTTTTGTTCACTGTGTGTGACTCAGGCTGACAGACATGCATCAGAGTAAGCTTTCTCAACTCTAGAAATAGCTTCTAAATGATAAAGCCCCTATGAGCACTGAGCCTTTTCCTTTCAAAATTATTGTATTTCAAAGGCACGTTCTTCCAACAGCCATGTGGAGAAAATTCTAAGGAACAAAGAACTACCAAGTCTTCAAAATCCAACCCTGGCACCTAGTTACTGGGGTTACCTCTGAGTCATGGAGTGGTCCTGCCTGGCACCTGTCCTGAGAATCAGCTCAGTAAGCCACCATTAGGTGCCGTCAGTGTGCCAGCTCAATAGGACACTCAAGACACTTAGGTAATTTTCAAGAATTATGAAGTAGAAATATTGCTAAAAGCTTACATGTAATTTTAATGTAAACCTATATAGTTTTTAGCATTTTGTAAACTGATATATACCGACTTAGTAAGATTTCTATTACCTATTTTCTTTTTTTGTTGTTGTTGTTTTGTTTTTTTTTCCCAGTACCTGGAATGGAACTCATGACCTTCTGCTTGCCAGGCAGGCGCTGTGCCGCTGAGCTAAATCCCCAGCCCCTCTATTTTCTTTTTTAATCTTGCACACACATACTCAAAATGTTCATTGCTTTGCATAAATCTTACATAATTCTCTGTGCAGACAATAAAAATTGATCATCTACACAGGTGTATTCCAAAGTCCAGGATACATGTGTACCCCTAATGATGGCTCTATTCTTCAGATAATTCAGATTATAGAGTATTTTTGATGTATGTTTATTATAACATTGAAACTGTTTTCAAGGACAATGTTTAGCCATGTTCTGACTTTAATAAAGCAGCCTGAGAAAGCATCAGGAAAGAGCTGGAACAGTGCAGGAGCGAAAGAAAGCCACTGCGCAGGACTCAGTCTCTCACACGCGTTGGGGTGGACATTGTGTGGACGGATCAAGCAGCTGCAGCCAGCCAAGATGCAGTGCTGGCCGAGGGGGCAGCAGAGCGCCCTCCCACACAGCACATGTGTTTGCCTCACAGATGGCGGCCTTAAGCCTGGAGGCAAAGTCCGCTATGGGGAGCCTGGCCTGAGCCCCCCATCCCCTGCCAAGGGTTCCAGTGCGGGAATGAAACAGACAGAGACAAATAATCATGCAAAGCGGGGAAGGTGAGGTCGGAGGCTGATGGGAACAGAGACCAAGAACCTTGGTGCCGTCTATAGTTCTGGAATTTCCACATAAGTACGGACTTGCCATGGCAAGAGGGGAAACAAGGCTGATCTGCTGAGCAAGTAGGGCTTGTGAGTGAGAGCAAGGCATTCCAGTGGAGCTTTCAGGACAGTAGCTCCAAGCTGATCAGTAACCCGCTCGGCGGTCACTAAGGCCTTGATCTGGGAAAGTAATTTAGGCAAGAACTGTACCATCCTCAAGGGCAGTGCTGATCTGGTTTGAGGCTCAGAGCCTCCTGGGTCATTTGCTGCCCTGGACAGTGGCGGAGCGGTGGGTTTCACCCAAGACGCCAAAGGGAGCCTCTCTCCCGGCCGTGCAGGTCTTGGACGTTCTCTCTCACGTTAATGTTTGCCACTCATAAATTAATCACAGCCTCTCCTGCTGAGCCTCAAGGTGGTCTCCCTCAGTCTGTAAAGCCCCTAGCTCGTGTCAGAAGGTGGAACTCATGTTGCTACTCACACAAACACATGAGCACATTTGCAGTCCACTTTCTGGAAGCCAGGTGACAGCTCACATTCTGTAGACTGCGGGCGCTGTGCCAGCTACTCTGACTCTGCAGACAGAAGGCTCAGGAGCAGGACTCTGGTGGGCAAGGATGTCCCTCCCCATGCACACAGGGCTGTGCAGCCTGGACGCTTGAGGCCAGGCACGCTGGCTTCACATGTGATAGTGTGAGGAGTCTTGTGTCCTTTCTCCTTGGAGAGACACTTCCATCTCCACCAAAGAGGCAGTTGTATGCCTTTAGTTTTTGGACTGCAATGTAACTGACTGATGGGATGAAAATATCTTATTCTCCCTTTTCTCCCGAATTCCCACACTTAGTACTTGATCTTGCTCACAGGTGCTCATCTTTGTCCTGCTTGTTGAGGACCTGATGTGGTAGTTTCCTTAGTGTCTTTTCTCAAGGGATATTTTCACAGATCTTAGAAAATAAAATCGCTCATTAGTACAGTAATTTTTACAGTGTATTGAGTGATTCGCTGCTTAGACTCATGGCCTGGGAAGCGTGATCAGGTTGTGTATTAGCTCTGGTTTTTCAAGTGCAAATTAAGCTATTTTCTCCCTCATTGCAAACAGCTTTGAGCATAGAACTTGCAAGCTGTTGTGTCACTGACATGAGCAAAAAAACGGATTCTGGGTTTTTCTTTAATTTCCAGCACCATTGTGCTAATGCAGAGTTGGAGTGTAGTTGAACAGCCCGTGATGTGCAGAGCTGGTGACTGCATGAGCATTGCACAGGCGCGCTTCAAGCTACATAAATCTCGAATAGCTGAAAGATTCATGATTTCCAGCCTGTCTAGACTTGCTTTCGTTTTCCTTTAAAAGTTAAAAAAAGAAAAGTCCCACTTGGGTTAAAAAAGAAAACCTAGAAAATAAACGTGTAAGATGCTGCCTTAGTTTTGATCCATTACAAAAATTTTAACCAAAATCATTCATCCGAAAATTTTTATACTAAAATCAATAGCAGAATATAACCTAGGTTGGTAATAAATGGCTGTTTTATTGGTAGCTTTCAATAAATATCTTTAAAAGCTTTTGCACTTAAAGTTTATCTACATTTCAGGAAGAAATTTACTAAACGTAATTTAATAGGCCACAGAATGAATAAACTCAGACAGAGTGTGAACTTTAGCAGCAAAAGTATAGTCCAGGATGTCTCCTTTAAAAGATAAGCATGGTCTTCCTTTGCTTGAACTACTTCTTAGAGTGTCAGACGCCACAAGGAGTCAGTTCTGTGGCAGGTTAGCTGGGTACGAAGGGCCACAGGCTCGAGGAGCTGGCTTGCCATCAGCAGCTCCCCCGAGCACGTTCTGCTGGCCGGGTCCCCAGGGTGGTGAGGACTTTTCAGTGTGAGCTGAAGGTTTGTCCTTCTGTCACCTCCCTTCCACCTTCTGGTGGCACCTAGGAATTCGTGAGAGAAGAGGCCAGAAGGCCTCTGGGTCACAGTAAGGAAAAGCAAAAGTTCAGTGCAGTTCCCCTGCCCCAAGCCGGGTGCCCACACAGAGAGCAGGACGGGAGACGCTCCCCAGCTCCCGCGTGGTCTTTGTGAGAGGAAGCCTGGAACAGTCGTGGGAAGTCGGGATTTGGAGCACGACGAGGCCCTGCACAGTGAGGATGACGGTGCAGCTGCACTGGGCCGGCGTCCCGCCCTAATCAGAGGGGTGGTCAGCCCCTCTCTGTGACGGAGAAGAGCTCAGTGCCGGCAGACCCACATGGCCGGAGGACAGCGCTGTCCACGTCCACAACTCCTGCCTCCCACACACACATGCGTGGCTGGTCCTTGGCCTTCTAAGCAGTGCCTGGTATTTGCTAACCACTTTCAGCCTCTCAGACCAAAACCTGTAAAATCTGACAGTGAGACAAAAAGACATACTGTGCCTAATTCAGTTCATCTTCCTTAAGCATTGCTGAAAAAGCTCAACGGAAATACTGCCTTTGTAAAAGGACTAAGCCAGATCTGGTTTCATGGAAAAGAAACAAATAATTTTCTGCGATTCTTAGCTTTTTACATTTGTAATTAAAGCAAAAAGGAGCACAGAAGTGCACACATCCCCACAAACATTCCACTCCGGGTCCTCTGCGCGGTGACTGAGTCTGCTTTCTTGTTCTCCCGCCCAGGGCCGCTCCCACATCTCCTGCATGCCCGGGACCGTGCGCCGCTGGAACCACCCGTCCCCGCTCTGCATTGGTAAGGCTCAGGTGCCCAGCAGGGCTTCGAAGGTCGCTGCGTCTAGCCCAGATTCCAGAGGCGCTTTCCTGACCTCAGGGCTCCTCCTGCCCCACAGACCTCAGTCCTGGCTGTACTGGTCACCCTGGCCCAGCCTTCTGTCCTCCGGCCCCCTGGGCAGAGGTCGCCTCTTTCATGAATCCCTGCACCTCTGCTTTCCTCCCTGACCTCCACTTTCCTCCCTGACCTCTGCTTTCCTCCCTGACCTCTGCTTTCCTCCCTGACCTCTGCTTTCCTCCCTGACCTCTGCCAAGTGATTTCTGGAGCCTGCATAGCAGAGCTGTGGCGGAAAAACACTGTCTTCCTTCAACATATTTTCATGTTGTTCATCACAGTTTTGTATGACTAGATTTTTCCATAACTTGTATTAAGACAGTGTTGGGGAGCCAGGCACCTGTTTGTGCTTGGAGGGAAGCATCCCATCAGCCTCCCCCTGGACCCCACAGGCTCAGCCCCATCTGCAGGCTAGGTTGGTCCGGCCTGCCTGGGCCTCACCTGCACCATGTGGCCTCCTCTGTCTCACAGCCGTGCTGTACAGCCACCCCCCAGGGACCGGGAAGAGGAACGTGCCGCACTCATCCCCCTGCCTGGCACACAGGGGCGCTGGAGAATTCTCCTTCCCCACAGGGCAGTACAGGATTGACAGCCAAGACCCTGGCTCACAGTGACAGGCAGTCTCTCCCTTCCTCCTGAGCCTCAGGGTCCTGAGGGCCGCACTCAGACCCTTCACCCCCACATTACCCTCAGATGGCCCCGACAGCCGTGTGGTCTTCCAGGCCAAGGGTCTAAGGACTGTGAGGGCACAGTGCATGGGCTGAGCAGGTCACATGCTGTTTGGGCTTCGCTTTGCAGAGGACCATGATGGCTCAGCTATCGTGGCTACTTTCCCGTCACTGGAACAAAACACCCAACCCCCAGCTTCATGTGGCTCTTGGTGTCCATGGCTTAGGTGGCTGGCTGACTGGCTCCAAGGCAGGACTGGATAGCAGAGGGGGAGGGGGAGGAAAGTGCACAGCCCGGGGAAGCCAGGACGTAGAGCAGAGAGGCAGGGGCACAGTGACACCCTTCAGGGTTACCCCACAACAGTCAGTGACCCAGCACTTCCACCTGGCCGTGCCTGAGCACAGGAGGCTTGGGGGATGTCTTAGTTACTTTTCTCTCATTGCTGGGACAAAATACCTGACACCCAAAGTTAAAAGGAGGAAAGGTTTATTTAGCTCACAGTTTGTGGAGGTTTCAGTGCATGATCGGCTGGCTCCAAGGCAGGGTGGCACATGGCACAGGGGCAACAGTTAGTGGTGGAAGACAGCAAAAACAAGAGCAAAAATAGGGAGACAAGCCTCTTTCCGTCCCTTATATTGTAGGCAGTCTCCAGGGATTAGGGCAGTGCCAGTCCACCCTGAGGACTGATCCAGCAGTCACCCACCCTTAATCCCAACATCACACACTCTAGACTCATCCACCTCTGAAGAAGTCCTGTGACCGCAGGAGGCTTTGAGGAGACATCTAGAACAGCCCAAACAGGGGATGTGTTAGATGTGAACCACAGTAACGGTGCCTTGATCCCTGCACACAAAGGAAGGCAACCCCTGTCCTTCCAACAGCCGACTCCCCCACAGCTCAAACACATGTCAGATCGCAAGTGCTTTTTTGTTAATAGTCTTTGTCCAGAAAGCACCATCTATCCGTATTCATTGTATCGTATTTATTTATTTTTCATCATATTTATTTATAAGAGGTCTGTATCTTATTTTGTGAAACTTATTTTTTGGTAAAAGTAAATGTCCCGACCACCATGTCACCTACACCCCTGAAGTTATTGGTGTGGAGGTTGAAAACCCACCCTGGTTTGGAGGCAGGAGTGGAAGGATGTCGGGAGATCTGATTAAAGACAGGACTTCCTGTTTGTTTACCCCTCATGCACATTTCCTTAACCTTGGGAATTTCCGCACTGTGGATTTTAACACCCCTCCACAGGTAGTGACTTGTAAACAAGGTCAACTTGATGCTTGCCTAAAATTCAACAGCCAAGTGAACTAACACTTGCTGCAGAGCTCTGAGCACTGAAAGAAGATAACTTTGCAAAGTTCTCCTTGTTCCCAGCAGCTCACAGAGGTGGGCAAGCTGAGGCTGCTTGTAACTGAGTGTGGGGTCTCGTAGGGTGGGCGGTGGCTGGGGGCCAACTTCCCTAGTGGGCTGAGCAGAGGTGACTGGTTAAAGCTCTCAGGGAGCAGGAGGCCCCACGAGACTCATGGCCATTGTCCCCTTACAGCCACCTGCGGAGGGACGCTGACCGAGCCTGGTGGCGTGATCCTGAGCCCCGGCTTCCCCGGCTCCTATCCCAACAACCTGGACTGCACCTGGAAGATCTCACTGCCCATCGGCTATGGTGAGCAGGGCAGGCCCGCTCCTGCAGGGCCACCTTGTTCTTCTCCCTGACAAGAGTCACTCAGCTTAAAACATGTGCCCTGCTCTGCAGACAGCTGCCTTCAGTGGAGAGCAGATGCGGATGTCAGCAAAGCTTGGGCAGACACCATTCAGAACGGGACGTTGTCTGAACAGTGAGCTCAGCCATGCAGCTCCTCGCAGGCAGATGGAGGAGGCTGAGGGAGGGCAGAGCTGCAGCGTGGACTGGGTGTGGGGTCCATCAGTTAGTCTATTCACACTGCCTCCTCCCGCCATCTTGCTCTGGAGCTCGGTGGTGCTCATTGCTGCTTCCAGACCCTTTGAGACTTTCTTCAGGGTGTGATGTGTGGGAAAATGAGTAGGAGACGTACATTTGGAAAGACAGTGTGGTTTTACTAAAGTTATCACATACTCCATATATATACATTTATGAAGGTTTTAATACTCACCTATTAACTTCCAGGTTACCTACTTCAAATAAGTCATGTTTTGAATAGCTATAAGCACTGAAACTTTATCCTGGCTGTCTTAGAAGTGCTTGTGTCTTAGTTACTTTTCTCTCCTTGCTGAGACAAAATGACACACAACAGTTGAAGGAGGAAAGGTTTATTTAGCTCAGTTTGTAGAGGTTTTAGTCCGTAATCAACCGGCTCCAGGGCACAGGGGAACATGGCAGAGGGGTAAAAGTATATGGTGGGAGAAGACAGCAAAAGCAATGAGAGAAATAGAGACGGAGACACAGAGAGAGACGGAGACAGAGACAAAGACAGAGAGAGAGAGAGACCAGCCACTCTTTGTCCCTTATATTGTATGCAAGCTATTGGCCCTAGGGCAAATATATCACTCACACCCTTAATCACAGCATTGGACCATGAATCAATCACAAACTCTAGACTCAACCACCTCTGAAAAACCTGCCCCCTGTGACTGTGTGAGACTTTTGGGAGACATCTAGACACCAACCATAAGTGCTTGGTCTTGGTGAAATTTCCATTCTCACGGGGGAGTGGGCCCTTCCAAGCACTCAGCACAAGCACAGGAGAGAGTGACCAGGCACTTACACGCTGAGAGAATCTGTTAGTCCAGTGAGAAATGAATGCAAACCTAAGTGGAAATCACTGCCCTAGAACAGTGATGGCGAACCTTTTAGAGAGGAGTGCCCACCCTGCAACCCAAAACCCATGTATTTATCTCAGACTGCCAACACTGCAATTAAAGCTGAACACTGAAGTTTTCGTTTAGAAAAAAACAATTCATACACTAACATCTTTTGTCTAAAAAGAAAAACAAATAACACGTGTGCTCTAGATTCATCACTGCTGCTCTGGAAAACCTGGTTCTTTATGTTCAGAGCTCTTCCTTGATGTTTTCTCTTTATTTCATGAAAAAAAATAAAACAAATCTCACAACAAAACAATAGAAGAATAGGAATAGTCAATACACTGTGTATCATTATCTTCAAAGTATTTACTTAGAACACAAGAAACGGATAGAAAGATTCTCTCTTCCAGAGAAGAAACCAACAGATGACAGCGCAAGAGCACCTTTTCAGTGAGCTGCGAGAAGTAGGAGTGTAAATGAGACAAATCAGTATGCATATTACGATACTGAAATGACAGAACAGGTCACTGTGGGAAGTTATGAGGACTTTCCCTCCTTCCTGCTGGTCGCCAGGAGGTCCGCACCCAGGGTTCCAGTGCGCAGACAGAGGATGGGAGGAAGGTCAGCCCTGCGCAGTGGAAGGCAGGTCCTCACCGGCCACGCCGTGTGTGGCTAAGGGAGGACTCAGGCAGGAACCAGGGCAGGGTTGGGGCCCCTGAGACGGCAGACATTAGGAATACTTTTGCTCCTCTTTGAGGTCCTCCCTGGCCTGTTTGGCAGACTGTGAGAGGACACTGCTGCTGCCTTCAGCTGTGCACGGTGGCTGAGAACTGCTTTGGTGGCTGAGAACTCACAAGCACGTTAGTGCTACGCACCCCTAGCCTTCTGTGATGTCTACCAGGTCCCCTTGAAATACCTGTCACCCCACAACCTCAACCCCTGCTTTGCACACGTGGCTTAAAGCAGTCTTATGAGGTTTTCTCTGGTGCCAAACCCAGTTGCAGCTGCCCGAGACATTGTGCCTGGGTCCTCTCAAGAGCTTTTGGGTCCCCCTCAGGCCAGCACTCCATCCACCAAGCCACCTCCCTTTCTCTGAGCCTTCCCTCATTTTGGCAGTGAAATCTTCCCCTAATCTTCCAAACCATTAGCAAATACCACATCAGACCTCTTCCCTGGAAATTCTGAGCAGTAACTTTGGGCTTGGAGCCCCTGAATTTGCATTTATAAAGCAAGCACTCCAGAAATTAAGTTCCTTCCATGTAAAAAAATTTGGAAATATGTTACAGGCAAGCACATTATCCCTTAAGAATAAATTCTCTCCTCTTTGGTTTTTCATGCTGTTTCCCATGAGTACAAAAAGCTTGGGAGATCTTGGAACACGTCTTATAGTTATACCAGGAAAGGATGTCTGGTTGCCTCCTGGGACCAGCAGGGAACACAGGAAGTCAAGCAGGCGTTTCTGCTGTGGTCATAGTCAATGTCCAGCAGAAGCCTCTGCTGCCAGGGTGACCTCGGTAGCCAACTTGGAAAATTCTCCGTAGAGAAGACAACTTCCGCCTTAATGCTGAGGAGAGGCTGTGCGTCGCGGTGCCCTGTGGTTCGGTCTGCAAGCCCTCTCAGTCTTGGGAAGCACAAAGACACCATGCTCTTCAGTAGCATCTCTGGAAATTCCATCAAGACTTGGACATCATCAAAAGCTTCTTACTTAAGACCCGAAGAGCAGCCCAGCTTTACTGGGAACAGTATCTCCTTAAACTCTGGAGCACCGAGTACGAAGGAAAATGCTGAGTAGATCCCTGAAGGAGGTGAAGAATCCCGAATTTTCCCCAAGTACAGCCAGGCTGTGGTGCCAGCCACCCGCAAGAAGCAATTCTCTGACTTAGGGAAGAGTACTTCCAGGTTAAGTAAGATCAGCAATAAACAGAGATTTTTCAGGAGACTCGTTAATATTACCTTCTTGAAATAAATTGATTTGGTGTAAAGATATTAAAAGCATAAGATTTTGGCCAAGTGGAATTAGAGAATGTTCTTGAAGAGGAAACAGTATGATAGATCAGAATTTAAAGTGAATTACAAATAAATTCCTAATGACCTTTCAAAGTTTTTTTTATTGAAAAAAGGTAAAGCAAAAATTCATAACAAAATCACAGGAGAAAAACATTAGTTAATACATTACATGTTGTTATCTTTAAAGTAGTTGCTCAGAGTACAAGATAGGGGCATAAAAGTTTCTCCAATTAGTATCAGCACAGAGTATTTTTATTTTTTTTTTATTTTTTTATTTTTTTTGGTTTTTCTCTGGTACCGGGAACCGAACTCACAACCTTGCGCTTGCCAGGCAGGCGCTTTGCCGCTGAGCTAAATCCCCAGCCCCAGCACAGAGTATTTTTAAATGTAATTTTTATTCTCGAGTCTCTCTCTGTCTTTCTCTTTCTCTGTCTCTCCATCTCTCCCTCTGTGTGTGTCTCTGTCTCTGTTTATGTGTCGGTTTCTGCCTTTCTCTTTCTCCGTCTCTCTCTCCTCCTCTCTGTCCCTGTCTGTCTCTGTCCCTCTCTCTGTCTCCCTCTCTCTGTCTCTGTCTCTCTTTTCTGGCATACATTCCTGTGTACCTGCTGTGGGCTTTCGACCAGGCTTGGGCCGGGTTATGGTGCTGTGAACCACGAATGCTCCAGCTCTCCACTTCCCCTGGGTGACACTATTTGGTGGCCTTTTCTGGAATAAAAATGCACTTGGTATTCTCCACCCAGGACAGATTTAAATGAGTGGCTTAAGACTCTCATACAGCTGGATACTGATGCAGCCGCCTGACAGATGAGCAACCCATAAATCAACTTGGCCAAAGCAACACTCAGTCTGCGCAGATGGTTCTTGTCATGAACCCCACCTACCCACTCACCCCCAACCCTGTGCCCAGGATCTATCAGCAGTTTATTAAACAGCAAAGACTGATCTGTGGCTTTGGTATCAGTGAAAAGCACTTGGTCATGCCTGTCTAATTCCTGGATCCCGACCAGTGGGGCAGCAAGTCTTCTCCAGCTGCCCTGTGAGACAAGTGCCTCACTCTCAGAGCAGTGCTGGGCTCCTAACTCCGCCCACACACAGGCAGTGGCCTGCAGGTCACTGTGGCTTAGGGCTTTGGATTCTGGCTTTAACTGAATAGAAATCCTGGCTCCATGCGTCACTGGCCGCATAAATTGGCACACGCTGCCATAATGTCCCCAAGGTCTGTCTTCTTAACTTTAAAATGAGAGTAACACAGCACCCTCCTTCCAGGTCTGTTTGGAAGTAGCACACACCTGGGACCTGCAGTACACACCCTGAGCATTGCTGCCTTTAGCAGAGAAACGAAGTCCTCTGTGCTTTTGTGCTATTTTATTTTCTCTACACAGACTTAGGTTGCTGTTGGGTGTTGCTTTGGCCAAGTTGAATCAATTAAGAACTTTTGCTTGTATTTCTCAAAAATATCTCAGAAGAAAGTTAACAGAAATGCCACTAGGTTGTAGATTTTTTCTTCTTTTCTTTTCCAGTTGAACCATGATCTTTCATCTTAACAACCGCTGCAAAGGTTGCACAAAATGCCGCCTCAAATTATCATGCCTCTGGACCCTCTTGTACCTTAGGGAAGAAATAAAAAATTCTTCAGAATGTTTACTAAGACACAAAGACATGAAACAGAGCAGTGCATATTCACAGGTTCTGCCTAGGAAATGAGGTTTGTCTGTGAAGCCAGGGATGCATTACTATTCAAATTTCAGTCCAAGCCCAAGGCAAAGCTCCTCTGTGTAGATGACTATCCACATTTTGATTTTCCATGTGTGAACTCTAACCACATGGAAATGTGTGGTGTACATTTCACCAGAGAGAGCCATTTAGATCAACTTCCTTGTGGTAATAATACAGTTCTAAAATATTCTGTATGATAATAAGGGATAACTGGGTCACACTTATTTTAATCCCTTCAATCAAGCTGTAGGATGTCAAACTGGACACAATTTGCTGAAAGTTAGATAGCTAAAAATTCTGCTTTAAGCCAGATTAGAGCTGAACTTGGTTCTATTTCCTGATAGGCATTTGGGCCTTTGATATGTGCCTGGATCCTTTATCCTGCTTAAAATGGTAATTTTGTTCACAATATTATAATTGTCATAAGTATGTTTCCATTTCAAGTTTAATTCCTACAGAGTAAAGGGATGCTTTCACCCCAGCGTATACTTTGGAGACATTGTCCACCTCCAGCTCTTCCAGCCCTGGATCTGGTGCTTTTCTTTCATCTGTGTCAGTCCATGGGTCCTGACCTGTGTCTGGATAATGCCTCTCAGGCCCACCTGTGCGCATGGAAAGTGAGCACACTTCGTGCTGTTTCCTTGTCATTTCACCCTAGTTTCCCAAGTTCCAGGTGCCTCTTGAACGTGTGGCGCTATCGGGGACTCGCAGCGCTTTGTGGCTGCCCTCCTGTCTCCTTGTCCTGCCTGCCAGTCACAGCCGCAGTGGGTACTGATGGACCTTGGCAGGCTGCATAGACTCAGCCAGTGTAAGCGTTGACACACACGCAGGCACACTCACGTGGACTCGGTGCATACCTTACTTAGCAGTAACAACACGCATTTCCTTTCGGCTTGTGGGCCAGGCTGCAACGAAGGCTGCTTTCAGGCAGAGCTGGGTGAGGGCGGTCGGACGCCATTGTGCAACCTGGAGGTCGTCTGGCTGGGCTGTGTGGAGGACGGCTCAGCCCTGAGCCCTAGCAGAGCCCGGCGCTGCCTGCAGGTGGCCTCATCTTCCTTTCTCATATCCCCTGCTTCCAAGTTTCTTTGGACAGAAACCTTCCACAGAATTTAGAAACAATGTATGGATCGTTTATGGTTCCAGTTGTTCAGCAAAGAGCAGTATCTGGCAGTTCGAGCATTTACAGAAGTGCTGAGCAGCGCCTCACCTCAGTGAGAGCTGGTGACGCTGGTGTGGTGGAGTGGCCCCGGCTTCCTCATGAGCACAGCCTTCCCAGACTACGCTGTGTGTCACAAACTCGGCCTCGCATACTAGAAAGAGTCACAGAGTATGGTTGACATTTCAAAGATATTTCTTTCTCTTCTGCTTTTTGCCTCTTCAGCCTCTTCCCGAAGTTTTCTATTTTTTTAGCTCTTCTTTTCCAATCTAAATTGGACAGGATTAACACAAACTCACTTTCTCTAAGAAGTAGAGGAATAGTTTTAACCTCATCAGATCATTGGCTCTTGGCCAGCTTGATTTCATGCTAAACCATGAAACATGAGGACTTCTGTCCACCTGAGCTGAGTGTACACCTCACTCTGCCTTTTTCCTGGGTTACAAACACAGCAGCTAAGATTTCTGGGCCCCGGTTTGCCTGCCTGTGCAGTTATGACAATAATGACTATTACCTAGTTAGGTGGTTTCCAGACAAAAACTAGCAAACTGGATCTGCAGCGTGCTGTCTGGCTGTGCACCATCCCCGTCCACGGAGGCTGTCACTCTAGTATTTATTCTTTCTCTTTTATTAGGATGTTTTCTTCCCATTAATGAAACTGTTTTTCTTTTGTAGTTCAAATTTTATTGAGTACTTCCAGGTTTTTCTCCTCGCCCTTCCTGAGGTATCTTCTGGCTTTTTCACTGACTTACAGTTTTTGGTAATCCCGTTTCTTTGATACATGCAAGATACTTGTACTGGAAATTACTCTGCTTCTACATGAAGATAGCACACCCCACAGAAATATTGCCTTTAGTTTTTCTCAGTTTAGGGCACATAATATATTTGGTAAAAGATAAGAGCAATACAAAGCAAAGCCTTTGTCATATTACCTGTTAGTTATCAGCTTATGGCCAAGTTAATAGTTTCATTATATAGATTCATTCAAGGACTACTACATTTGGATGACTCCCACATAAACTTTTTGAACAAATTGAAATAGTTTAGACACAGCAATTACATTGCCAAAAGATGTAGCACCAAGGCGATATCTCTAGAGAGGCCTGGGGCTGACTTTCTTCTCAGTCATCGCCAGAGCTCAATGTGACCGCAGCACTACTGGCCCCTGGGTCAGAGGTGGGACATCACACTAGCCTGTCTTCTGGGGTGAATTCTGAGAGCTACAGTGGAGTTGATCAGATTGGTTCTTACTTAGCAATTTGCTCTGCAATAGAAGTGAGAATAATCATTTGCTAAACTTACAAATTTCTTGTACCATTGCATTACTGTCTAGTCAGCTTTAAAGCACCGTTTAAAGCTTGCTGACTATTTTCTTCAGCATTGCTTTCTCCTCCGATGAAGTCCTCACTGACCTGTGGGTGATGTGTAACGTACACTGCTAGCCTTACTCTTTAGGGTGCAGTAACTGTTAATGGAAGGCACAGAGCATGTCGCTGTACATATGTGCATTAGCCGTCATGCTAAGCATCACACCTGTGTGGTGCAGTAACTGTTAATGGAAGGCACAGAGCATGTCGCTGTACATATGTGCATTAGCCATCATGCTAAGCATCACACCTGTGTGGTGCAGTAACTGTTAATGGAAGGCACAGAGCATGTCGCTGTACATATGTGCATTAGCCATCATGCTAAGCATCACACCTGTGTGGTCTTCGGTGCCCGGCTGGCAGCACGCACGTCTCACAAGTGTGTTGACTTATGGGCAAAGATCACAAAGCCAGTCACAGCAGACGTAGTCAGCCTTAGTCTGTGGTCATCTAAAGTGCATTCTCTCTGCATTACGCTGGTCTCTCTCACAGACAGTTAAAATTTCAATCACTTGACGAGCGCTGCTTTTGCCAGTCTGTGTATGAACTTTCAGTACCTTTGCGTGCCCTTCCCAGGTGCCCATATCCAGTTTCTGAATTTCTCCACCGAAGCGAACCACGACTACCTGGAGGTCCAGAACGGGCCTTACCCCAGCAGCCCGATGATCGGGCAGTTCAGCGGCACTGACCTGCCCTTGGCCCTGCTCAGCACGACGCACGAGACGCTCGTCCGCTTCTACAGCGACCACTCGCAGAACCGCCAAGGGTTCAAACTCGCTTACCAAGGTACGGCCCGCCCTCAGCCCGCGCTTCCTGTACCTCCGTGTTGGTTGAAATCGTGTAGGTTGGGTTGGTTTGGGGAGTGCGGGTCTCAGGTCAGAGGTAGGACGCCTTTGTCTGTGGGCACTGCACTCAGGACACGGACACCAAGGGCCTGGCTGGCCATCTGTCCTCTGCCACAGCCCCGCCCCACCCTCACTCTTCCGGTCAGGCATCGCCTATCTGCCCAGCCGCAGGACCTAGTCATCTGTCCCCTGTGCCCCTGGCCCTTGCGGCTGCAGCACGCACACCCTGTGGCACAGGCCTGGCCGTCACAAAGGGGCCAGCTGGTCTCCCCCGTGGGTGTTCCGGGTCCCACCACAGGCGGCAGCCTTGTGCACTGCTCAAGCCCTGCTCAGTTATGCCAGAAAAAGGCCTTTCTTTCACCCTACTTTCATCCAGCCAAGTGTGAGATCTCTAAGCAAATTTTGAATCAGCGGTGATCAGAGCATTTCCGACATGTGAAGAAGTTCAACATTTTCAGTTCATACAAAATAATTTAGCTGCCCTTTTCTTGAAAATCATTAAATTGGATGAAGTTGAAAATGTCAGACCTAGCACTTCTTCTTTTTTTTTTTTTAAGATCGCTAAATCAGTTACATTCCTTGGTTTTATAGACTGTCCTCAGAAGCAGCTTTCAATTTTTATTACTGGAAGAGTCTAGGATTTTATACTGGGCCCTTCGGCATTGTTACTGAAGCTCTCATATGAGGAATGTGTATCTACACATACACAGGCGTAGTTGTGTAGACTGTGGGTGTGGGAACAGGAAGGCAGGCGGGGGCAAGTGGACGGGAAGCGGAAGCCAGAGCGTGCGGAGCCTCAGGAGAGCCCCTGGGCCTTTGCAGGAGATCTAAATACCAGGCCATCACCGAGGCTCTGCCTGTGTTCTCCTCCTCCTCCCTGCTGGACAGACACATACACATGCACACACACACACATACATGCATTCACACAGCACACCTGCTTATCTTATGCAGGGAACTTCAGGCAGGAAGCAACTTCTATGACTGTGACGGGGGTGCAGATCTCCGGCATGGGCACTCCGCTCTCTCTGTCTCACGGGTGCACACGCACGCGCACAGTGGAGCTGCTGGGCGGTGCAGCTCTCTGCTCCTTGCGCTCAGAGACCCCTCACTGCTAGATCTCTGCAGCTCTCAGTGTGCTCCGGGAGATGCCTCTCCCTATCATCCTCTGTGCTCAGGAAGGGCCTCCAGGAGCCACAGCCCGCCCTGCCGTGTGGGCTCTACAGCCACCTCAGCCTCGATGCCCTCCACCTCCACCCTGCTCCCTCCACCCTCAGGACCCGTCACCCCGCTGGCTCCTTGGGAAGAAGTGGAGTTCTTTCTGGGCTCCTCATGTGTGGAGGTCACTGATGCCACCCATGAGATCTTTCCCACCATGCCCGCTTCGGGACTCAGGGTGCAGATGCCTTAGTGACTTAGCGCATCGGTGGGAGCCCTGTGGCTGGTGAGACCTGGGCAGGAGTCTTTGGATAGGAACATGTAGTCAAAATCAGGTCTGTTTGCAGAGTGGCTGGGAAGCCGGTCTCCCGGATAAGCTCTGTCACATGAGTCACCGGGCTGCTGCGGTGTGAGCCCTTGAGAGGGACACACACTGCCCGGGCCTCTCAAAGTCAGGGACCCAGTGCCTGCACGCGTGCTGCTCTGTGACCTCATCCTGAAGGAGGTGGCAGCACCTGCTCCTCCCTGGGCCCCGTGCTCAGCATGGAGCACACAGTTCCGGGCACACTGGGCCCGGGGTGTGGCTGGGATCAGGGAGCTCAGGGCTGTGCCGTTGCTTGACCAGGTTTGCGCTTGCTTCTCTCTGAATCAATTCTATCTCAGGCCGCGGGTGACATGTGCATTGACAGAGAAGCCATCAGCCAACACAGACTGCCACGAACACCACCCGTCTAGTCTCAGACAGCTTGTGTGATGAATGGGCCTTTTTCTGGGGTTGTGCCTTAAAGCCAAAGAGGTTGGCAAAGATAGTAGGATTTTCATGTTTTAGCAGGGACTTGGACCTGCCTCAGGCCTTGGATGTCCTTGTGCAGAAAGCTCTGAGATACCCCACCCGCAGCTACTCAGACTACGGCATCATGGGCCCTGGTCTGGCCTTCCCTTCCTTTCCTTTCATCTCTTCTGCTCCCACCAAAAACCTCAGGGATAGGGACCTGTAGCTCCAGGGCAGGTGTATGCGGGATAGGGCTGGCCAGGAAGTGAGGTGAGGGCTTAGACAGAGGGCAGCGCGTGGAGTCCTGCCTCCACCTGCAGGGAGGAACCTCCAGAACGTCCTGGGTGAAGCAGGTGTAAGGTGCTCCACCCATGCCTGCTGGTAGGATTTCAGAGCTGGCGTCAGGGAACGGAGCAGGTCTGAGGGCTCAGATCCTGCACCCCAACTCTCACCAGCAATTGCAACCCAGAAGTAGCCGCCTCCCCTTCTTGTGGTTGGTGTCCTGCAGTCTGGGGACTGAACCAGCCCCTGAATGAACACCAGGCTCTTATTCTGCCCCTCGGCCACACCCAGGGCCTGGAGCTCAGTTCTGACTGTAGAATAGCTTGTGTGACATTCTCCAAGTCTCCCTGGGGTCGAAGAGGAAAAGCTTGATAATTAGGCACAAAAGGAGGAAAATGGACCCACGAGAGTAATAGAGACAAGGGTCTCAGGCACCCCTCAAGGTCTCACAGGAGTCGAGTGCAGGGACCGCAGTCTTGTCTTTCCCATGAACATGTGGCAGGAGGTGCTGAGGACCAGGCTGTACCTCGCTCCTCCGGCTCCTCCTCCTCACCTTGCTTTGCACCCACCAACCTTCCCAGTGACTTTGTAACATTCAGTCTCAGAGTTCACAGAATCAACTTTAAAGATATTAGGCCACCCTCACAAAACAAACAGCATAGGAACCAAGTCAGATGAAGCAGAAGATAAGCTGCACAGCATCCTTGACATATTCTGAAATAACAAATACTGGTGCAGTCGTGAGTGACACAGTTGCATCCACCACTGGGGTGTGGACAGGCAGGTTCTGGATCCTGACCGGCTCATGGTTGGCGTTTTCTCTGGGGACGGTCAGGACTTGAAAGCTGTTTCTGCTGCAAACGCTGACTCTCTGCTTGGGCCCATGCATGCCCAACAGGTGACAAACTCAAAACAAAGCTCACTCTTCATCCTGGACCCTCTGTCACTGTGACCCCGGGTCAAGTCCCTTCTGGGCTCTGAGGTGTGGTGTGCGCCACTTAGGGAGGTCTGGCTAGGCACTTTCAGACAGGACCCGTCAGCCCTGAATTTGTAGGATCTCATTCCCTTCCAGACGGTGGACACCAGTGAGAGGCTTACAGAGGTGTGCAGCACACCCAGGACCCTGCAGCCATTGCCTCCAACCTGTCACCACTTAGATTCCAGGGGAGTGCAGCCCCCCATGACCAAGACCCCTAAACACAGAGAGGCACTTTCCTGCCAGCAGGACCTCCCTTCAGCCTTGAGAACTCCAGAGCTGTGACTCCAGGACTGAGAGAATTGCCCACGGGACACAGAACTCCAGCTGACCCTTGAAACTGGCCTCCTGCTCTTGCTACTCAAGCTGGAGTCCTTTCCTGTCTTTCCAGTGGAAGCTTTTCTTTCACTACTCATAGGTGCTCTCATTGTAATTTTGACTTCTACTAAAGCCGGGACCCATGCAGGCTGGTTACAGTATGAGCGTGATCGTAGCATAGTTCTCATTCGAGCTGAAATCCCAGCCCAAATCAGGCCTGTCGGGAAGCTCACAGCTGGTCCTGACGTGCGACTTCCTCCACTTCTGAGCTCTCCTGGTTGACTTTTCTGCACTTCCAGATGACATCCCACCCAATCCCATCCTTCTTCTTATTTGCATATTTCGGGCTACCTTCCCATGCTTGTTTTAAAGGAAAGATCTAGCGACTGCACCTCATTTATGATGGTTACAGGGTTTGCCCCTCATAATTTCTGGAAACCCTAAGGTTTTTATCATGTGCCCCTTTCCTGTAGAATCTGGGTAAAGCATGAACACTACATATAAAGAGTACTTACGATGTTTAAGCCCAGATATTTAAAACTTTTCCATGCAATATTCATAAGGAAAGCACTTTATGACTTAAACCTTTACCCCAGCAGACAATATTTTGCATTTTATTTTATTTTAATTA